TATATATATATATATATATATATATATATATATATATAGTTATGTGATATGTTTCAGTTATGTGCTAATATTTATCTAGTTAGGAAATGCAGTGAGGGATTCTTCTTTCAACATCCTTTTGTCATGTACCCTGTGCTGTTCTGTCCCCTGGGCAGGAGAATCCTGAGCCAGAACCAGATAGCCAGATTAGCAATGAAGGCAGAGGGAGTCCGTCACACATAAATAATTCATGGAGACAATTTGCAGGCATGGGGCCAAACAAACTGCATCCCACACTTGTATCAGCATTCAACAGGCCACGCCAAACCTTAACTGATGTGAAAACTGTAGGAAGTGGCCCACCTTTCAGCAGCTTTGATGTATACATCCAGCAGGGCCAAGATGTACCTTTGGAAGTACGAGAAAATGTTCTTTTCAACTCTGTTGGGGCTATGAAGAGAAATCCAATTTTATTGCAAGCTAGAGAAGGAAGAAGGAGCCATGACATGACTCTCTTTGATTCCAGTCCCATGGGTGACTGGAGTTTGCAGGAGTTGGTTGATGCTTCATATGTTCAAGAGCAGCTAAGGTTTCACAGCAGAGTATCTCAGAGTAGAAGTAAGAGAGAAGTTCAGGATGAGGCTTTGGGTCAAGCTGTCATTCTTTGCACGAATGATGAGAGCATCAGCAGACCTGGGAGACAGGATTCAAAGCAAATGGAGCCAATGGAACTAGGAGCAGATATAAAAGCAGACGATGTCAGTGGTGTACCAGAGAACCCATCCAGAGTTCCTCAAGAGATCATGGGTGTGCAACCCTGCTTGCAAGGAATAGATGCAAAGGGGGGAATTAATGTGTACCATCGTACATCAAAACGTGTTTCTCCATCTGTCAAAGATGGCTGTGGAGAAGATGGAGAAAGAGGTGATTCAATATCAGAATGTGGCAGCAGTGACTGGGACAGTTCTCGTAGTGTTGATACACCCCAGATACTGGGAGTGAGCCATCAGTTCTCCTCTCCACACCGTGAGTCTGGAAGCCCAAAGGACCTGCACTTTTTCATTGAGGGGCCTATGCTGCCTTGTGCCTTCCTGACATCACCCATGTCTCAGATACGCAGTCCTGCCCAAAAATCAGAGAGGGAACGTAGCTCCAAGAGTATGAAATTGTTCCACGTGCTGCAGGAACATGAAGAAAGTGCCAGCTTAGAACCTGAATGTGTTAGGTTTGTGGTGGATTCCTGTGAGCAACTCACTGTCCAGGATTCTGATGGTGCTGCTGAAGGACAGAAAGAAATGAAGAAAGGAAATGGAAGGACAGATCAGGATCCCAGAGTGTGGGAGGATGGAGGCACAAAAGACTCGTGTGCTCCTCCTGAGTGTCTCTATCAGATGGCTGACTGCCAGGGAAGCAACAGTCCCTGTCAGCACACAGAAGTGAGGGTGACCCAGACCAGAAAAACTGCTGAGAATTACAGCAAAATAGAGGTTGGTGAAGGAACAGGTGAAAATAAGGTAGGACTTTGTCCTTTGTGATGGCACTTCTGTCACGAATCTTGAGAATTGAGATTGAAACCACACATTGTAGCTAACCTTCAGGAGCAAAGGGAGAAGGCATCCTGTTAGAAGTTATATAAGGAAGTGTGACAAACTGCAAAATTTCCTCTCACATTAGTCTTATGTTAGGGAGGTGTCTTCTAAAAGAAATAAAGGGGTTATTGGCAGGGAATGCCAAAGGATTGCAGCATTCCATACAAAATAGTCCTTAATTTTGGCTCTAAGATCCTTCATAGTAAGCACAAGAGAAGTCAGTCTTTTCCCTCTAAAACCCACAGTCTGAATTGAGGGTGAAATAAGCTTTTTTGAGGCTAAGAAGGCCCAGGGTGAATGTGTTGGTTAAACTGTAAGGCAAAGCCACGTACAAGTCTAGTATGTAGACAAATGGACTTTCTTCCCTCTTAAATGAGAAAAATAGGAAAACATTTGAATGAATTCTCTTTCCTTAAATAGTAGCATTGCTTCCATTGGTTCCAGATCGTTGTTTTTCAGGCAGTATGACTTAACACACTCTGGTCCTTGGATCAGTGTGGCAGTGGTCTTAGGACACCAAGAAGGTTTACAGGTGTGATGGGGCCCACTGTCAATGTAACTTTCTTCTTCCTCTTTGAATACCAAACACCCCAAAAAAGCTGCTAGAAAAGCATTGCTCTGTGAACCTGGCACTCAGCTTGCAGCAGTGGGAGAAAGTGGAGAAGTGGGAAGTAGAAAGGGTAGGTGCTGCTCTCTGTCACTGTCTATCAGTGCTATGGAATATGTCCTGCAGCCTTCAACTCATAGAGCCCCCCTTTCCCTGGGAGGAACACTTCAGGTTGTCTTGTCTTTGTCCTTAAGTAATTGCCTCAATTTAATAAGAACTGAGCAAATCTCTTGTTCTGAAAACAAAGCAAAACTTGCCCCGGAACTAAAAAGTCACTGTGTGTAGTGGCAATGAGTTGCTTTGCTGTAGTACTGCAGGTACCCAGCTGTGCCTCCACCAAATTGCTAGCTCAGATTTCTAATTAGCAGCGTGTGGTAGTGCTCAGCTGATAATAACTATACCTATAAATATCAGATGAACTGCAGATTATCCAAGAAGTTTTAATTAGCCCACTGGAAGTGAGTTTATCTTTGCTGAAGGACAACTAGTGTCTAGTGCTCCACATGCATAGTTAATGACCATCTGCAGAAAATAATTAGGTAAGCCCAGAATACATTATTTGTACTGTTAGCATTGATGTGGCACTGAGTTGGTGGAAGAAGGATCAGTATGCATTCATCTCCTTCTCCCTGTCCCTCAGTGTGCAAGTGAATTAACTCTGTTTTCAGTCTGTAATTTTGTATAAACACTGAGTACCAGGACTGTGATTTATGAATAAGCACGTGCTCTGCTGAAGCAACAGCACTTGGCCGTACTGGCATGCTGTAGAGAAAACCCTAGAGTACACTTGCTTCTAATTTAACTGGTGCAGTGTATCAAAGGTGAGACTTCTTGGGCAGTGAATTCCACAAAGTGAAACTGAACAGTCGCGTTTCTCAGTGGAAATAACTTGAGATGTCAAGCTTGCATTGTTCAGAGGTGAGGATGTTGGGTGGTTCCCAGGGCTCTTGATGTGCTTTGAAGGGTAAAGATATATTCAGGAGCTTCTTACTGATGTGCTGCAGCAGAACTTCTTTCCACTTTCAGTACTGCTGAAAAAGTACAGTGGTGTAAGGAAAGGAAGCATCCTGGATTTGCGTCTAGAGATGCTAATTGCAGCTTGTGGAAAGTAAGAGACTTTCTTGGCTGCTGGATTCTCCTTAACTTGTTTCACACTGTGCTGAGGAGCAGAGCAGAGCGAGGAGGGAAGCTACCCAATGTGCATAGGGTGGTGTGCTGGTAAGAGCCTTCCTCAGAGGGTGCTGTGCTCAGTGCATGTGGGTGCGTGAGTTAGCCTGACTGTTGGTAAGCTCTTGCTCCCATCTTGGAGTAATGGTCATTTGTTTTCTGGATCACCTTGCTGCTCTAAACTCGATCACTGTATCCAGATGGGTCTTCAGGAGTTGAAACGGATGGGTAAATCAATCTGCTGTTTCCTACACACGTCATTTGCTGGTAATTGTTTGGTGTTAGCTCACAAGAACAGTTTCTTGATGGTAGGTTCAGTGCTAGCCAACGGTGTTTGCATTGAGGAATGCCTTCTGAAGCAAGTGTGAGCTGTGAACTCATGTTCTTCTCTCCCATCCTCTAGCCTTCGGGCACCCTGCCAGCACCTGTGCAGGTGCCCCTGGGGAACCTTGCTCCTCTGCGTGGCCCTGTGGCTTCTCCAGCTGGCGTCCTGCGTGGCTCACTGCACTCAGACATGGGGAGCTCTGTGGATGCTGGTGTTGCAGACAGAGAAGAAGCTCAGGTAAGACTGTTTTCTGTGGGAGCATGTCCAGAAAAGCAGTCTGTGCAAGAGGTCACAAGTTTGGTGTTACTTACAAAGACAGTGTTTGTGACCTGTCCTCTGTTTTAAAATGCTTTGGACTGAAACACTTCTACTGTTCCACTATGTTTCTTGTCTTTTGCTGTTTCCACGGGGTTCAGTGATAAATTTTATTTCTTTAGCAGCTTGAAAGACAGAATATTTTCAATAGTTGAAAAACTGTTGATTTGAAGTGAACTTTGCTTTCTACCCAAATGGAGCATGATATACTCTACAGGTAGTGTAAGCTAATAAATAACATTCCTTTAATAAAAGTGATACAAGCAAAACATCTGGCACAGTCTTGACTGAATCTGTGCTCTGAGGCAGAGATAGATTTTTTGCAGGTGTGCTTCTTTTGGATGGGAGCCTCTTTTTTTTGTGAAACTTCACAAAAAGAAAAGTGAATCTTCATAAGAAGTGTCATCTCCTAGCTGGATATGGCTCTATAAGGGTAGCAGCATCATCCTGAGCAAGTTCTCAGAATTCAAAAACTTCCTTTCTATTGCCTGTTTCGGTGGGTTCGTACCTCCCCTGATACTTTGCCTCTCCTCTGATTTCCCTTCCTTTTTAACTTCACAATCTGTAAGCCCACTAGTGAGACCAAGGGACTGACTTGTGAAGAGTTCTTTAAACACAATGGCTGTAGATGAAGGGAGAAGTGAAGAGGAAGTGAGAATGAGGTAGCTGGCGTGTATTGGCTCCTCATATGTGTCAGTAACCACAGTGCTTGAAGCCTCAAGGAGTGGAAAACGGTGATGCTACTCCAGTAATGGCTGATAGACTGTGGTGATTCAGTTTGACTTCAGGCTTCAATTTGCACTGCACTTCCTATGTGTATCTCTCAGTTGCCAGAAAGTGTCTACTCCTGTTTTGTACTCTGTAAATCCACATCTGCCTCCTGTATTTCCAGAATGTAGGCTTATTGCTGTGGTACGTTTCTCTGGCTCTGCTCCCTTATTTCCATGAATTACAGACCCTCAAGTTCCTTCAGCACAGCCTATGGCATTGCAGAGATCAGAACTCAGTTTTGGCCGTTTCCTTTTTTGAATACATCTAGAGTCTCCATAGGACAACTGGACTCTTCAAAAACCTGCACATGGATGTCAGTGCCCTGGGATGCAGCTTTGAATCTGAGGTAAGAAAAGCACGATCAAATGGGTAATGTAGAACTACCCAAATAGAAGAGGAGCTATGGCACTGCACTGCCTGCCTGTGGGCTGCAGGAGGGAGAGCCCAGGAGCTGTACCCTAAGAGCTGTTTGTAATTCATGAGCAATAACAACCTACAGCAGGGCTGGGAGGGCAGCATATATGAGAAGCCAGATACCCACATCACTGCCCCTCTACAGAGAGTATCAGAAGGTAGATTTGTCCTTGAAGGAGAGTGCTTTCCAATCTGATAGATGGCATTTGATTTGACAGCACCTGAGCGTGAGGTGGAGCTTGAATTCCTGATGAGTGAATAAAGAGAAACTTAAAGCAACATAGGTGCGATGGGCAAGGCAGAAGTCATTTCTTTCAAGAAATGACAGAAAGAAGAGAGTCTCAGATCTGAGTGGTGCCATTGCTGATGCTGTGGGAGGAAGGGTTGATGAGGAAGAGGCATGGTTTGTTTCCTCCTTGTTTTTTTTCTGTCAGTGCAGAAGGAAGGTTTATTCTCAGCAGAAATTGCAGCGTTGTCGTTTGGAGAGTGGAGGGGGAATTTGGTCTGGAGACACCATCCTCACATTGTTGTTCATTTCCATAAGAATCTCTTAGGAACTTCATGGTGGACTGGATACGGCAGCTTTTTCTGTGTATGGCAACATAAAACTCATTTTGTATCTTGCACTGCTGATGAATTACGTTGCTCAGACTCTCAGCATCAGCAATGAGTTCAGTACACGCGTTGCCTTGTGCAGACATTTTGCTTTCCCTGCGGGTGTGCATTCTTTGCCAGCACTTTCTTAGCAGTGATCAGGCTTAAGATGACAAAGGGACAATGTGAAGTGCGTTGCAAGCAGCTCTAGTGATTCAGTCTGTCTGTGCTGACGTTAATCCTTTCTTAGCACTTTGAAAATTCTGTTCCAGCAATTGAAAGGCAAATTAATTTCTGTTAAAACGTTTTTACTATTTCCCTCATCCTTTTCACAGTGTACAGAAAATTAAGCTGTAAACTCATTTGGAGAACTCATTCATAGAGCTGGACAGGAACTGCAAATGTTTGTAATAAAGTGGATGCAAAAAAAACACCCGAAAATACAGAACAAAAAGGCTTCGACCCTCTCATCTCCAAACAAGAAGCCTGTCAGAGCCCATTTCGTCACTGAAATGTTAATGTGTTCAGGAGCAAAGGGTTGTCTTGGCATTTCAGTGACATGGCAAGGCTTCAGGAATCTATTATAAAATGGCAATTGCTGCCCAACAGCCAGGCTGTGTCTCAATAGCTAGTAACTCAGATTGGTGATATCTCAGCCCTGATAAAATATTAGTGCCCCATGGAAAATATAATTCACTCGTAACTCCATGAGAGGGCAGTAGAAAAACGTTCCTATGAGTGAGCTCTTATCCTGCATCCCATCTCTCCAGCTTTGTTCCAAAATGGAGAGAAGGAAAGAATTCATAAATCAAGCTCTGTGGGAGGTGAATCTAGGAAGTGATGGGGTGAAAACAGCTGGTTTCATGAAATCTGTGGATCAGGGCTGAATATTCATGTTTAAAGAAAAGAAATGTGAGAGTGTGGTGATGTGCTGAGGTTCAAGGATCCTCCTGAAAGGGACGAGAAGAGGAAAAGACCTGGAGGCACCTCTGGGTGCCTGGATTGAGGGTCCCATGACAGCAGGAGGAATCCACAGGCTGCTGTGCTTGCAGTTTGGGAAGCGTTATTGCTTTGCCTTCTGTACAGGTCAATCTCTGGGTAAACAATTGGAGTCAAGGGGGACCTTTATCTGATGGGGGATTAACATGCAAAGCTCTCTTAGCAGATGGAGATGTGTGAAAGGGAGCTCTCTCTGTAAATAAACATGCAATACAGTGTACATGTTCTTGCAGAGATGTATACACAGGCAGCAGTGTTGCTAATTCCAAGGATATTAAGACATCCATAAAATATCAGTGCCTCGATGGCTGGTTGAAGGGGAGGGATGACAGATGTGTCACAGCCTTGCTCCTTCACGTCCTGAGGAAGCACAGTGCAGAGCTGCTGTGCTCATTCTTATTCAGGCCCTCACAGGCAGAGGACCCCAACAGCTCAGAAGGGTGCTGTGTGAGTACTGGCTAGCAGATGTTACCCCACTCACTAGGATAACAGCAAAGCAGAGAAGAACTATGGCGGTCACCTGGCTGATGTCACTGAAGCTCATCTCCAGGACCAGAGGAGTCCCATGGAGGAAGCTGGCAGTCTGAGAGAGGTGATGAGTGGCTCTGACATTGCAGCCCTGCTTGCATGATGTCGCAGAGCTTTGCTTGCTGCTTCCAGTGTTGTGGTGTGGATCTGATTGTTGCTTAGCTTGTTTCTTTTGCTGCTTGAAGTAGTATGTGTATGGAAAGAGGTGTAAACTTAAGAGCAAATGCTTTCCAGATGCTGCCAGACCTACCCCACTCTGTTCTTCTCTGCCTGGGACCAACCTGAAATCAGGAAGCAAAAGGGGAGCATGTTCAGCCTGCAGAGGAATTCTCTATGCAGTATGAGGTGGCTTGTTTTCTTCCCTCTCTTTTAAAGATAGGATTGTGAAGGGTTTTGTTGTAATCTCTCATGTTCAAGCTGTTAAAATCCAAAGTGGCATAGTCATCCTGTTCTGGGAGATGAATAAGATGCAGTTTTGTTGGCTGCTGTCTGCACTGATTTTTCATCCCTGGTTTGGATGCTTTTCCAAAAACCTGATCCCACTGGTATCAGTGTGGGTTGCTGGTTTGTTTTTTTTTTTTGCTGTTTATTTTCCTCCAGTTATGCTGATCAGTAGGAAGTCTGGAGATAATGTGTTTGATAGGCAGAAATTCCATGTTGGTGTCACACAGCTGCAGGTGAAATGTGTTACAGCTTGTGAGAAGATCAGCTAAAGCCAATTATAATCTGGATGGCTCTTCTTAGCCCCAAAATCTGTAGCAAATTCATGGTCTCTTTTTTACACAAGGAAAACCTTCCTTCTCTTCCACCTGTGTGTCTGAGTGTCACAGTTCCCTGTTTCTGGAGAGCTACACTTGTCATCATTAAGGTGTAGCGTTAACAAAAATCTTCTGTATCCTTAGAATAGGATTCTACCAGGTAAAGAAATTATTCTGGGATGTTCCAGTAGCTGAGGTAAATTTTACTGGAGAGAGGTCTTTGTGTGTGCAGTGTATCAGTGGATACATCTGTATGTTGTTGTATGTGCTCCCCAAAGGAAAAGATCTGTTTATGGTTTACAAGCCTAAGAATCCGGGTTGGTCTCATCTGGCACATCTTTTCTTGGACATTATCAGATGTCCTGGGGAAAGGCTCTCATGAAAACTGCAAACCAAATCTGGCCAAACAGAAGCACATCTAGGGACTCGTCCCAGGTGCTCTTATCCCCAGATAAAAGGAAGCATCATGAAGATGGGTCCCCTGGAAGATCACTAAAGGAATGGCACCACCACGTACATTTTTCTGGGTTCTGGCACAGAGATGTTAGCCAGGCCTTTGAAGAGCCTCCTGTGGCTGGCTAGTGATTCAGTGGTGTTTGTGAACCTCTGCTAACCAGGCACTGAACTGGAAACAGGCCATAAGCTTTCATTTATTACTTGGCAGATTGCAGGTGAGGCTCTGAACTGTAGTTTTTTTGGAAAGTACCCAGTGATTTGATTTCTCTGTCCTCCCCTCTGCTCTGATTGATGACTCTCTCAGCCCTGAGAAGGTCTCTCAGACAAATGATGTGCCCAAGACAGCCTTCCAGTTTGCCGCAGCTCTGTGTTCAGAACTGACAGCATTCCAGTTGCACTTTGATAAAAATACATCGTTAAAATATGCAGTCTGTATGGTACATGCTGTACTCAGGATGCAGCTAATGTTTGACAAGATACCACAGCATTAATAAACAGCGAGAAAGTAGGAAGTGCAAGCAGTTTTGTTTGCATACCGGTGAGGGAACCTTTTCCTGCTTCCTCCTGGCTATCATGCTATTTGTTGTGAGTTTTGTGGGCCTTCCCACCTCTGGGAGATGCAGCTGAACCTTTGGGTGACTGAGTTCTTGCTTGGGATTGTTTTTTCCAAGGCCAGTGGGAGAAACACATTTCTTTGTCTAATATCTTAGTTGAGATTTGAACCAAACTGGGACTAGAGTGGCTGCTTAAATCAGTGCCTGCACTTGGCTCGTCCCACTGGGAAGCATGGAGGCTGCATCCTGCCTGCCCTTCTCTAGTTATTTTGTGCTAAATTTCTTGCAAACTTCCACTTGTGAGACAGACTCAATATAAAAGCCTTCTGCAGAGCTCCTGGGGTCTGATGGTCCCTACAGCAGCCACTGCTCACTGTTAGCTACTCGTGATTACAAAAGCAGTGGGGTAATCTCAGCCTCAGGAAATGAATGAGTTCATCTTAGTGTTCTTTTTGTTTGAAAGAGCCTGTATGAAAATAAAACCAAGCTGGTCTTGCTGAAGTCACCCAAAGCTTTGTGATTTTTTTTTATTTTTTTATTTTTTGCTTGCTGTAGAAGAGCCCAGCGTTGTTTTCTGGTGTTGTTGGTGTTTCTGGTTGATGCTGGTGTTGTTTTCACCCAGTATCCTCCCAGAGAGAGAGTAAAGAATGTTATAGCTGTAACTGTGTTTGACTTGCTGCCTAGAAGGAGTCTTTAAAATCAAGACATGCTGAAGAAGAGTCTTCCTTGGATTCTGGTGACACGTGCCCTCCAACTCCAGTTAAAGCCCTTTCTGGAGATGCTCACTGTAGGCTGTCTGACCAGAACAAAGAGGAATCTGATGAGAAACTCGCTGGGAATGAAGGACTGGGTGAGAAAGCTGCTGAGGTGCAAGGTGACGTCTCTGCAGCTGATGAGCTGCCACAGTCTCTGGAGGAAGGGAGAGCAGCAGGGACAGATGTGCCCAGCAGTCCTGGGCAACCTCGAGCTGCATCTCCAGATGCTGAAGCTGCTGAAGCAGATCAGCTGGCAAGCCTGGCTGTCACTGTTGACACCGTGTCTGTTGATGAAAATATAGTAAATGAAATGAGGGAGGAAGCAGCTGATGTGAAAGCTGACAGCAGGCTGGATGCTGGCAAAGTAAGCGACCTGCCTGCTTGGGTTTGGTTTGGTGTGGAATCTGCTGTGGCTGTTCCCATTGCTTTGCAAGGCCCTGATTCAGGAAAGCATTTGGAGCACTTGCTCATTTTCTGTTTAGTCAGCATAAGTGCTTTCCTAATCAGCAGTGTGTTCCTATGGGGAGGTGGGGGTGGCAATAAGTGCTCTGAATTCCCAGATTGGTTTCTTCAGTACTGAGCTAGGAAATATTCTTCTCTGCATACACAAAGTGCTGTCCAAAGCAACTGACAGGCAAAAACCCTGGACTGTGACGCATGTTTCAAGTCTTAGAGGAGAAATAAGTCTCAGCTTTCAGTGCTGCCATCTGTACTAAGCAAGCAGGTTTTATAATGAAGTTCACACCAAGCTCAGCTGTCTGTACTGCTTTGTTTCTCTCCTTCTGTTGTTTCTCTCAGCTTATGTAGAGATGGGGCTAAAGTGTAAAGTGAGCTGCCAGCTGTGATGTTTACAGCTCTGCAGGAGGATGCTGAGAGGGAAGCGTGAGGTCAGGGGAAGGGCCATACCTAGGGGCTGGCTCCCGAGCTGCAGCTTGTGCCCAGTATCTCTGTAGTGCTGCCTAGGAGGAGAATTGGCAGCACTGAGCTGCACCGAGGCACTCGATTGTGCAGGCTGTGGCAGGAGATGAACTGCTCTGCATCATGAGGTGCAGGTGGGTTAACAGCCTGGACCTGCAGCCACGATGTCAGATGCACACCTTTCAGTTCTGTTACCAGTCTTCCAGAAGCGTTAAAGTGAGAACTGAGGAATGATGCCTCTCCAATCTATTTTCTTCCTGATAATTTTGGTGATTTCTCTGGTGTGTAATGTCTAAGAAATGATAAACCGTATGACTGATTCTGGAAAATGTGTGCTTTCCTGAAGAGCTTAAAACGGAACTGTTTTCTTTTATAAATGCTCTCTTTACATGTTTGGTTTGCTGAAGTCAGCTGGACTGCATGGGTGTTAACGTTAAACAGTTCTGTATTGTTTCACTGTGACTGGGAACGTAGGAATCTGCACTGCAAGTAGGGACAGCAAGGTGCTGGGTTTTTGAAGTGGTGGAAAAAGCTCTGTTCTGTGTGGCTTCATGATTTACTTGGTGGCCCAATGGCTTCTCAGAGCTGTGATGATCCTTGCAGAAGGAATGAGGCAGTAAGCTAGTGCTCTTGTCAGGGATATTTGAAGAGCACTTCTTTGCCTTCCCCAGTCCCATCTCCTGTGTGCATCCTCCTTTCCCAGCCCTTTCTCTGTGGCATTCTGTGATTGTCTTGTGGGTTACACCCTTAGTGTCTCCTAACATGTTCGTTCACCTCAGACACTTGCTGTTTTTCTTCCTCACGGTATACAGAGACCAGATCTGTCTTCCAGTTATCATTTGTTGTCTTTTTAGTTGGAAATGCCTAAACGAAGCTGCAGGGCTAACACATGTACGTATCTCCTTTCAGCCTTCCAAAGTATCTGAGAGCAGTGAATGCATGGAGGACTTGCAGGCTTCTAACCACCTCGACCAGGAGCTGATCCAGCATGTGGTGAGTCGCCAGGAGCTCCTTATCCCTTGGCTATGGGCTTTGCATCCCTCTGGGAACACACAGCCAGCGTAAGGCTATAGCCATCTCTTGTATCCCTAACTCATGCAGTGACCTTACTGTCTGGCACAGATTACCTGTGTCACCCTCTGCTTAGCTCCCTTTGGTATTCAGGAAGACTCTTGGAATACTGAAGCACACTTGTGCTTAGCAAATTCCTGAGCCAGCACAGGCTGTATGGGATGAAGTGGCTTGACCAAGGACTATCTTTTGGAGAGCAGTGCTTCAAGAGCCAGCTCTTACTCTGAAAGCCCTCTAGCTCCAGAAATGTGCTTTCAAGTTTGAAGCCAGACCCAAGTCAGGCACTCAGTAGGATTTCCAGGTCTGCCTGTGTGGTCCTGTCGTGTGTATTGCCCATGGTAGGAGGCCTGTGGTAATTCTGCAGTCAGGTGTGGTGAGAGACTTGTACTGAGCAGGAATTGCAGAAAAGTGCAGGTTCATTCTGAGGGTGAGGTAATAGCTCTGGCAAAGTAGGTCACTCATAGCTGAGACTCCACTTGGATAATTGCAAAGTGGAAAATAATAAGCGATATAAAATCATGCTTTAAGGGATGAAATAGCTTTTTCTAAGGGAAATGTGCATGGCTGAGAGTCCTGGCTCCTGAAAGTTCCAGGGGGAGAACATGCAGGAGGATAGCCCTGAGGTGAGGGGTGAAGTGCCCATCAGCATCTCTTCATCTCTGCAGGAAACTGCTGCTGCCATCTGCCAGTGGGAGCGGAGGCAGCATGGCCAGAAAATGGCTGCGAATATCATTATCTATCAGTGTTAGTATGAGCCTGTGTTGGCAAGTGGCTGCTGCATCAAACAATACCTTTTCTAGAGCTTGCTTGTGGGCATGCGTGTGTGCTCTCTTGCACGCTGTGTGTGCAGCCAAGTGTGTGAACCCACAGCCTCTGCCAGTAGGGAGAATTCGGAGCGAGTAGCCCATGGGCAACTTGCAGGAGCTGACTTCAGGAAAAAATATCTCAGAAGATCTGCACCAATACTGGGAATAGAGCAGTAGAGGGTTGGGGCTATAGATGCACTCTATCACCTGTGCCTGCCTGTGATCTGTGGCATGGAAGAACGCATGAGGTGGTGTGGCAAGGCTCACTGCCCTGAGGCAGTTCATGATGCCCTTATGTGGAATTGCAGCTCGCTGGCATTGCAGGGAGTTTCCTTTGGGACCATCAGGGAAGAGAGCCGCAGTGCAGTGCAGTGCCAGGGCCCCAACTGTGATGGCTCACACTGGTAGCTCAGTAACCTGTTACCTGTGTGTGTCCCTATGGGTTGGGAAACAAAACCCAACTTGCTGCTGCCAGGGCCATCTGACTGCGATACAGATATAATCTGTGCTTGGATGGAGGCCTGAATCTCAGTGTAGCCATCTCCCGTGTCCTATAAACCTTTCTAATTGTAGTGGCTCTGGATATTTGAACCAAATTGCTGTCAGTGGGATGATGAGTGAGGATTCCTAAGCATGTTCAGATTTTTTTTCTAATTTGTCAGGATCTCTCATGGGACGAGTGAACTGATCCTATCCTTTCTTCTTCAGGACTTGGCTTTCCAGAGCCAGTTTTCTGAGCGGGTGTTGGATGTAGATGCTCTGTCTCCTGCTTTAGACAAGTCACTGTGCAAGGTAAGTGCTTTATCTATGATTAGGGACCAATCTTGGAATGGGCAGGTTAAAACACTGCACTGTGGCATACTAATAGCAGGATGAAGCTATTGGCATAAAGATTTTGAGGCAGATGGAGCACTGTGACTTCAGGGAAGGGATGAGAGCAGCAGTTCTAGCTCAGTGTTGTGTCTGCAGAGATGCAGGGAGTTGCAGCCACTCCTGTGAGGAGAAACTACACGTATCATTCTCTTGGGAAGAGGTGGTTTGTGAGTGATGCATGCGTGCAAGCTCACAAGTGTGTGCCTTCACTGCCTCCAGTTACACATAGATAACTGGCTTTCCTAGGGAGTGCAGGGAAGCAGAGTCTGTTTGGCTTTTTTCCTGTTGTGTGTATTTGTTCTGCTTAAGAGAAAGAAAAGATGAAGAGAACTTGTGTAACAGAGCATAGTAGCAGAAAATGAAGAAATGGAGGTTACCTTCCATGGACAAAGAAACTTAATTTTAGGCATTTGCTTGCCTTGGCTGCTTTCATGTAGGGGAAACAACAGGATCCTTCCAGTCAGTCTGTGGCATATGAAGGAGTGTACATATGCATGAACACATCTGCTTCCTATATCACGCTGGCCCCATATGTGGCTATGTTATGGCAGTTCTGACTGAGGATTGCTGTGCCTCTTGAGATTTTTATCCTTGTCTTCTCAGCGTGTTGCCAAGTCGTCCTTCTCAGCCCTGCACTCCTATTGAGCTCTCCCAGCTCTCCCTCTCCTGCACCATCTCAGCTCATCAGCGCGTTGGCTGGAGGAGCATGCTGCACAGCGAGGCAGAGGGTCAGGCTCCAGCTGGGGTTTACTCAGCCTTGCTCTGATTGTAAGTGAGTTGATCAGCTGCATTGGAGGAGACCTTGAGTGGCAAACTCACCACCTGTCCAGCAGAGAGGAGCAATCCAGTTTGTTAGGTTGTCTGGAGAATACACCTGTCCTCTTGTGCCTAATAATGAGCATAATCAGATGTGAAGGGAAAACAAAACATATGCCTGCTGTGTTCTCCCCATTTCCCTCTTGCTACAGCACAGTCATCGTGCATACAAATGTCTTGTTGGAGCAGACACATTTTGAGTTTTTTACAGCCTTGTCTTGAGGAGGGAGAGGTGGTTTTCAAATGGTGCCCCCCGCAGAACTGCAGCTGCTCTTTTGTTCAAAAGACAGAGGCTATTTCAAAATGAGACTCCGGAACGTTGGAATGTGATTATTTCCATGTAATGGACTTGCCTTGCTTTGAATATACTGGCAAAATATTCTTTTTTTTTGAATAAAAAAGACCTCTTCAATGGTGCTACATATGCACGACATTGGAGGCTTTTGGTTAGCGTGTTTTGGCAGGAGCTGTGTTAGATTGCAGTGGCAGTGTGGGCTGCTCTCTGCTAGACTTGACTTCTCTGCTGGCAATGGGAAGGTTGCTCCTTTCACCTTTCACTTAGCAGGCATTTAAAGCGCTGGCATCCTGCTTTGCTGGCATTGTTACCAAGCTGAGGTTGATGGTGGTGAGGAGCTGGAAGCAGGCATGGCATTGGAGCTGTCACGTGCTGGAGACCATAGAAATCCTCCTCTCAAGGCCTCTTGGGGACTATGCTGTACGAAGAGGAGACAGCCTATTATCTGTCATCCTGGCTTTGTATTGTGAGCGTGAGATCTTTCCTGGGGGACTCAGCCTGGTGTCGAGCAGGACAGAAGACCAAGCTGCCAGCAGTACTCAGCGCTTCGCAGGGTCTGCTGGGGGTCCTGGAACAACAAGAGGGTTAAGGCCCTGGGAACTTCACAGGCAGGGCTTAAAATCCAACCCTGGGCACAAGCTCTATTTGCCTTTCCAGATATGTCTGCATATTCCTACAGGGATTTCTGGGGAGATACGTTGGGCAGGAATGCAGAGGAGGTCCCAGACATGGGCTCAGCAGTGTAACCTGTAACTCTCCATCTTTATTCCCCAGAAGACCTCGTTCTTTGTTTTTCTGGCTTCTTTCCTCGCACAGGCAGCAGTGACAGAACCTGTTTTGAGCCAGGTGATGTTTTCTGGGCTCCTCAGTTCTCAGGAATTGAAGTCATTATTTAGGCTGGAGAGGTGGGGAGCTGCTGGGAGAGTTCTGACCAGGCTGATGTGATGGAAGGTGACAGCACTTGCAGGGAATCCTTCCGCTGTTTGCTCTGCTGAACATTTGCATAAATTACTGCTGTTTTAATTGTGTTATTTTGGCCCTGCTCCCTATTACATTCCTGCATGGCAAGGTCTGAGCTCACCTGCTATGTGTGGTCCCTGGAATTTCTGGATGGGCTCTGGGGCATCCAGAAACCTCATCAGGCAGGATGGGCTGTTGGTTCTTTCTCATGTAGGACTGAGGGTTTGAAGAGGGGGCCTGTTTCCCCTTCCTTGGGTGAATTACACAAGTGTGTGTGTGTGTGTGTGTGTGTCCCTGCTGGAGGGATAGAGGTACCTGGTAGATGGCAGGTGGGAATAGGAACAGCTAACCATGTTACATTGAAATATTTGTTACTTTAAGTATTTCCTACTTCATAAATAAGCTACCTGAAGTCACTCTGAGCCTGTTATTGAGGGACCAGTTTAGTCAGCAGCATCCAGACTGATCTGTTCTGGATGGAGTGGTCAGAAGTCTCTGGGTAGGTGTGACTATATCGTATGGTGCCCATTGTGGTCTGTTTGGGAACCAGGATTCAAGGCAGAACTATTGTAATTCTGGTCACAATCGGTGCATCAGTTTTCTTTATGGCCACAGTACATTATTTCATGTTTGTATATGTGACATTCCTGCTTTAAAAGATTTGTCCTGCATTATTCAGACAGTTTATGGTTACTTGGATATGTAAGATGACCTCTGGGGGGGAATAAACAACCAAAGCTGATGTTGAGAGTGCTGTGTGCTGGCAGAGAGTTCATCTTCTGTACTGAAAAAAACAACCCTGAGACCAATAATAGTAACACAACCTGGAGAGCTGAGCTCCCTGATGTCTCTGTGCTGATGGAGCCATTCCTCCATGTGTTCCCATGGTATCTCAGGACCTTGGTTACATGCAAGAGAGGAAATTAATGCATTCAGCTGGGCATTCTGGAATGCCCTGTGGATGCACTTTAGTCCCTGGGCTTGGTGCTGGTATGTTAGACCAGAGTGCTCCTGCTTTTTGATGGAGCCACTGTAAGGTCTGGGAGGCTTTGATGGCAAAGGAGCCAGCAAACTCCACACTATTTGCTTTTACCTGCAGGCACAGGAGCTGGGAGAAGAGGAAAAAGACCAAAGCAAAGCCAGTATAGATGAAGAGCAAAGCAAAAGAACAAAAGCTGCTGTGAGGTATGGTACAAACAGAACTAGAAAGGAGGCAGAGACAGCTCTAGCTCCAAGTGACTTTCCTGTCTCATCTGTCCCTGCTGTGCTCAGGTCACTGTAACCTGTACAGGAGTTCCCTGCAGAGCACTCTGAGTTCCTGCAGTGTCTCACACAGTCTCTTCCATTCAATCTTTCTTTTCTCCCACCACCCCTTTAGTATCACCTGAGCAGATTTGAGCATTGTTTCAGCTTCTGGCTGGGAAGACAGCAAAACTGCCTGCCTTGCCCTCCTCATGACTACTCTGAGATGTGGAGCTGACTTTTCCATTTCCCTTACAGCTACGTGGCTTTTATCTAAGGCTGTGAAAGTCACTCTCTTGCCATGATGGTCTGTTTTCTCATTATGTTGTGCCTTGTGGTATTTAACACAGGTGAATTGGGCCCTAGCCATTGCCTGATAACAAACGTTGCAGGTTTTGGGGCCAGTCAGTGCTGGTTTGGCAGGAGAGTTTAGCTCCAAAGTGAACAGTTCAGTTTCACTTCCTTCCTTAGAGGAGTCTTAGAGCCACTTGGCTTCTGTTTGGCCAAGCACAAATGCTAAGCTATTTTGTTATCCTGCTTTGTGGACATCTCTATAACGCAACAGCTGTAACCCCAGGAGCAACACAGGTTTCCCCAACCTTTAGTTGCTATGAGGGCTAGACTGTCTAGAGGAGGTATTTTCCCCCGTTTGTGGAAACTTGTTTAAAGCAACTGTAATGTTGTGCTGAGGGCTCTGTGGTCTCTAGAGCATCCTGCTCCGCCTTTGAGAGTTGCAACATGTGGCGTTTATAGATGAATTGTGTCAAAACTCTTAGCCTCCACACAGAGCTACACAGCATTCTGGGGCACAGGGAATGAAGAAGCTGTTGCTTATGCCAGGAAAACCTGCGAACGGAAGAAGCTGCAGTCCATCTTAATGGCTGGCTGTGTGCAATTGGGATTCACAGCTTTGTGCTTGGAGGAGCTGTTCACATGAAGGTCCCTAAAAATGTGTTCTGCCCAAGGAATTCTCTTTATCACTTAGTACCTGCTTCCCAGCTATGAATCCTCCCCACTCACTCTGCCTGTACAGCTACGTTGTGCTTGCTTAATCTCTCTTCTCTGTGCTTCCAAGATGAAGTAGAACCATAGATGTAAACATGCCTGCCAATGTATTTCCATCTCTAATTTAGACTACAATATGAGCGTTACTAATAGGGCTGATTTATCTTGGGGAAATTCTGTAAGGACTTGCAAAGAGAGGGAGGTAATCCAGCAAAGATATTCGACATTTTGAGGTTGACAGACAAATTACACCCTCAGCTGCCTGTTAGTCTGGCAGTGCTCGAGGTGGTGTGAACGGTTTGGAGCTTTGTCGGGGCTTTGGCAGCCCCATATTGGACAAGTGAAGCCCCTTGGCAGGCATGAGCTCGTGCTGCAGACTGCCCATCTTGAGTCAGCTGCTCATCCCGTCTTCCCTCTGTCTTTGTCTGCTTGGAGCAGTCACTAGAATCTGATCTATGCTAATCTGATATTCTGTTACCTTTTTTGTGCTGCGAAGTGAGAGGGATCAAAGTGGTGGTGAAGCATCAGAACAGAAGTGTGTTGCTTTAGAAAATGCCAATCAAGAGGAGGCTGTGGCCCTGCAGCTGGATGAGGAATTGCCGGATAGCCTAATCGATCTGGAAGAACTTGCAGCCCTGCAAAAAGCGTAAGGGCTTCATTTAAGTCCCTAGTGTTGTATGCATAACAGTTTTTGTTCTTTCTTTTCTGTTCTCCCCATTATTTGAAGTTACTGTGTGAGGCTGGCACGCTAGGAGATGCAGTTTGGTGGGCACAGCAGAGCTTGAGAGCATCTCAGCATGCAAATCCAAGCAGCTGTTCTCCTGGCAAAAGTGCCAAGGTAACAGTCTGTCCTGCGGAGGGTGAGAACAGCAGCTCAGCCCTTGGGGTCTGTGGCACAGGACTCTGTGGTATGGAAAAAGATCTGTTTACTTTGTACTTGGAAAAGCCTCCTTACCAGCATCACTAATGAGGCTAAGCATTTACACACCTAATATAAACAGTTTTCCACAGCAGTTTGCTTGCTGAGCAGTACTGAGATTGGAAGGAGGGAGGGGAAAAAATTCTCTCACTTTTAGAGTCCCTGGGAATGTTGTTTGGTTTGGGATAACGAGGTCAGAGCAGAAGATGGGAGAACTGAGTTTCTCTGCAAAAGCCAGTGGTCTGTCACAGTAGTAAATTGGTGGAGTTTGCTGATAGGTACCTGCAGTTTCACTGCAATGGAAGTTCCCAGTAGAGGAACATGCTGACTTTGCTTTCTGTGTCAAATGACAGATCAGCAGAAGTAATTGGAAAAAATAGGCAATGCATCTATCAAGGCAAAGTGGTGGAGTAGCAATCTTTGGTTTGAAGACAAGTATCTCCTTTTTTTTATTATTTGAAATTGTGTAAATGTGCATTGTTGGTTGGATAGTTATTTAAACAAAGATTTGAGCAAAAAAGAACAGTTTTAGGTGGAAGTACTTGAAGTGCTTCGCAGAGCAGCCTGATAAATGGCACCTCCTGGAGGCATCTGTGCAGTTGGCCTGGAGCATGCAGTGTTACAGGGGAGCAGTAGTGAAACAGGATTTTTCCAGGACCCGGCTACCCTTTCCTCTCTCTCTGTTCTTTTGCTAATGGCTGCACGAGTAACCTTTTCTCTCTGACTCAAGGTTATATTACTAGAGCTGCTATTTCCCTGATTCCAGGCAAGACAGAGATATCTGCCTTATGCTAGCAGTCTCGGGGCATGATGAGAAGACCTTGCTGCTTCAGCTTTCACTAGCACAGAATAAGAATTTTGTCCTTAGACTAATCTTCATTTCTCCCTCTTCCCTTTCAGCCTCTTTCAGACCTTATAATTTTGCTACTCTGTGTCTGAAAAAAAAAAATAATACTTAATTAGAAACAGATTGGTTTTGAATTTTTGGAGAGCTTAGGGCTTTCTGTTGCCTAGGGCTGGCAAACTACCAGCACACTTTCGATTGCAATTGCGGAAAAATACCTGGTCCATTAGAAATACATTGCCAATCCCTGGGTTAGAAGCTGGTGCTGATTGCATCTGCTTTTATGGTCCTAGGCAGGATTTCACAGCTGCTAGATCCTTTGTGAGGTGAGGCTGTGTTTCCCTCACGAGGTGAGCTGTAGCAGGTCCAAATAAGAGCAGTTCAGGACCTAAGTTCTGTTAGGACTATGTTTAATTTATCAGTCAGAGTTTAGAAGTCAATGAGAGTTCCAATCAGTGGTGCCTGGGAACATCCCCAGGCTGGCTTGAAGCTTGGAGAATCAGCTGTGTGTTCCTCAATAGCCTTGTAAAAATGCTCGCCTGTGTCTGCAGCACAGGAAAGTTCAGGATGTAAGGCTGGTGAGTTTGGCTGGCAAGCAAGGGAATGGATTTGTTTTCCAGGCATGTTGTAGGGAACAGTGACAGCATGAGTTCTGTACCAAGCTTGTCTTCTACCTGTGTGCCCTCCACCTGCCTCCACTGCTGTTCCTCACCTCCTGTGAGCAAAACAGCAAGTGCTCCACAGCAGCAAATGAAAAAAAAGAAAACAAGTGGCTGCAATCCAGTGGAGATTCTGCATTTACTTTCCCTTCATGGAGAGGAAAGCTTGTGGAGTAGGAGGCTTTGAGATTTTTGGTTTGGAGGTGATACTGTGTGTGGGAATGCTGCTCGTTCCCTTTGTGTTACTCAGTTCTCTCACCCTTTTGCCAAAGGAGCTTTTTCCTTTTGATAGGCAACCTGAGAAAGAAACAAAACAAAAGCAGTCCTTGACCCAGTCTAGTGAAGAATCCCTGGAGGGAGTAGCCAAGGAGCTGGAGAAGGAGGTCGAACAAGACAAAACGCACTTACTGCAAGCAAAGGAGGAGAAAATCCAGCAATTCCAAGAGGAAATGAGGCTACGGGAGGAGGAAGAAACTCAGAAGCTTTATGAGCAAAAAGAAAAATCCCTCAGGTACTCTTTTGTTTTTCCTGTTTCTCCTCCTGAGTCTTTCCCAGGTGTGATTCATTGCTGGTGGCAGCAAGTTTGTGCTGTGTTATAGGCCACCGAGAAACAGGAGCTGCTTTGTGGAGCTGTGGGTGAAGGAGGCAAGAATAGAGCTCTTGAGGTGAAAAGGAGTATGGGGCTCCATCCTGACAGTGGCAGTAAGGATCTGCACATCCTGAAATGGGCTGTGGTCTGCTCTCAGTGCTGCCAATGCTCAGAGCAGAGTACATTCTGCCTGAGGAAAGCTTTCTCCCTCGTAACAGGCAAGAGAGCATCTTCCTTGTGTCCTGTCAGAAGAGCTATGATTCGAAACACATGCAACTTTCATAGAGCTGTGAACTTGTCTCTTATTGTTAACCTGGGAGAAGTTTCTAGTTCACTGCTTGGAGCTTTACCACCTGGCAGACTTTCAAATCTTGGTCTAAGTGGTAGTAATAGGGCTGGAAATTGGGGCATTAGAGAAGATGAGGTTACCCCAGAGGAACTATTTGAAGCTCTGGTACTGCTTGTATTACAGGAGGACTTCCAAACAAGACTTTAAGGAATAGGGCCTGGATTTCTACGTGCAAAACCCAGCCAATGCAAGAAGATTTAATGGCAACCCAGGGAGCAGAACAGCAATAGGAATGGTGTCCTCTGTTCTGGGGGACTTTTCTCTCAAGACTTGTATTATAAACATCAGGGCCACCCCAGATAAGCTCTTAACAGCACACAGGCAGCCAGAAAAGGTTGCCTTGACATGAAGCACTGTGGGGATGCTGCCTTGGGTGCAAAAGAGGACAAAAACTGTACCTGAAGGGAGAAATGTCTAAGCAGTGGGGAAAAAGGGTGTTGTGCAAAAGCATGAAGCTTTATACTAATGCATCCAGCTACCTTAGCTGGGAATCTGCCTCCATTTCATAGAGTTGATTTTTACATACCTGGGAAAAAAGTGCCACCTATGATGACAGTATAGTGAGCCTTTAATAAAATACACCACAGGATCTTGATGCTTAAGGGCTGTGTCTCCTGTACCAGCAGCCAGACTGTGAAGGTATGGAAGGGAATTAACTGTCTGGAACCTTGGGAATGCATCTCTCAGGCAGGTGCAGTGAGTGGGAGCTGATCTGTGTGCCTTGGGGAGGTGGTTTGAAGACATTAGAGCTTCCTGAACCTTTTATTTTTTTCCCCTCTTTTTTTCTTCCTCCTGGCTGCTCATCTCTCAGGACACTGAAAGAGGATTTGGCAAAGGTTTGTGAGGAGGAAGAATTACGTGTGAGAAAGGAGGAAACTGAAAGACTGTCAAAGCTGCGAGCCACCATCACCTCTGAGACTGAGGCAGAGAAGGAGAAGATAAGGTGAAAAGTTTTTCCACAACGAGCAGGAAGCTGCCATCCTTAGGGACATAAATTGTGGGTTTGAGAGAGAAGCATCTTGCATGCCATCAGCATCCACTTGGGGTTCTTTAGCCAGCCTGAGCTTCCTGTAGCTGCTGCCTTGCCCTGTTAGAAAGCTAGAAATCATGAGGACCCAGCTATGATGCTGTTTGCTGTTTATTTCCAAGGTCTTTGCTGTTCAAAGTGTACATTGGTTCTCAACTTCTTCTGGGGTTTTCATGTCTGATCTTCTGAGCTCTGGTTCCTCAATGGAGCCCAATGTTAAAGTACCAAATTCTGACTGGCTCCTCTGCTCTTGTTGTAACCCTACCAGGGCAGAGCAAGAGCTGGCACTACAAAAACTAAGAGAAGAGTGGGAGTCCGTGCAGGAAATGGAGAAGGAGAACTTGGAGAGGAAGAAGCAGCTTGCTTTGGAGAAAATGAAGCTGGAAATGGAGGAAGCTCAACAGAAAGAAACAATCAGGCTAGAAAAAGAGAAGGAACAATTCCTAAGGGAGCTTAAGGAGAGATTAGAAATGGAAAAGAAAAAGGTGAGACTTTTTTGTTACCAACTAGAGCCAGACCCTTGCTGTTTATGCTGACCTGACTTGCACTGCAATGCTGAAGTTAAATAAGATTAAGTAACACCAGCATGTGCTTTGATAATGACTTCGTTAAAACACAAGGGAAAGATGTTTGGCATGCTGGTAGAGCTGTGATTGGGCTGGGGATGCTCCCCTTGTTTTGTTACGGGGGGGATTAAATAGTTGTTTGAGTGGCCACATTGCATCTGAAGGAAAAAAAATATTGTTCTTCTTGGCCAAGTGAAAGCAAACTACCTTATCAGGCTAGAAAACCTCTTGGGTGTTGCTTTAGTACTCTGGAAGGCTTGAGGTTCTTCAATAGAGGCAGCTGATAGTCCTTCCATGGGATGGCATGTCTGAGATCCACTGGGATCTTCTGGAAGGGAAAACGTCCAGAGAGTGTACTGTGCATTACTGTGCATTACTGTGCATTACTGTGCATTACTGTGCATTACTTGTTTTGAAAGGGATTCACTGCACTTTTGCTGCTTGTGGATAGAAGTTAATTGCAGCTGCACCTTGTGTGGTGTTGTCCCTGTAAATGAAGGATTGCCAGCAGACTGTTTGGCTTGTCTTCCTTTAGGCTGCAGAGGAGCTAGAGAAACAGTATGCAGCTGAACTCCAGCAGCTGAAATCTGCAGCAGAAGAGAAGCATCGAAAGGTAAAAGATGGTGTCCCCAGAATGGAAATTGCTTTTTCGTCCCACTCCATTTCCAGGTGTGGGCAGGGTGGGTGGCATTAATTTTTTTTTCTACTTCCTAAACATGGTTCTGGTCTGGCTCAGTATTTGGGCATGTTCCAAGTTAGGGGGTGGTGGGACTGTACACGTTGATCTTTGCCATGCTTCTTGATCTCTGTAGGAGGACACTAGAGAGATCTTGTCAGAAGGGTGACAAGTCTCTGTGGGTGGTTTTCATGGCAGGTCACTTCCAGCCTGCAAACCCAGATAGCGGAGGCACAGAGGAGTGAGGAGGCTTGGTTGCGTGAAGATTTGCAGAGAGCAGAGGAGAAAGTGCAGCAGAAATCATACCAAGTAGCAGAATATGAACGTGAGGCAAGTATTCGTCTTGGATGCTGAGAGTTCTTTGTTCTCCACTGATGTTTGGTGAGGTCTGAGATGCAGAGTTCCCTGCCCAGGGGTGACAGTGGTGCGCACTGGGGAAGGGACACTCCTGCAGCATCTCCTTTCACAAAGTGCTTTTTTGCTACTATCTAGGCTGTGGCCTGATCCCACTTGCAAGGTTCTCAGTCATTCTGTTCGTGTGGGAAGCTGCTCTCTTGGGGAGCCAGTGCAGTGATTCAGTGAAGCCTCTTTGTGTCATCATTGCAGCTCAGTGAGCTTATGAGTGAGAAACGCCATGAAGTGGAAAAAGACCATGAGAGGAAAATGGAGAGGATGAAGGAGGAGCACCAGGAGGTCCTAGCAAGGATTCGGGATCAGTATGAAGAGGAGGTACTTCTGGGGAAGTGCAGTGGACTGGGAGATCACTGTTGGTCAGCTGGATTGTACCTGGGCTGGCACTGCTGCTTGCCAGCTCTGCTTATCTCAGCCACTCCTAGAACTGGGGCATCTCATTCGTTTTAGTGCTTTTGCTGCTGTGTAAAGCAAACTGAGGCTCAGGTTATGAGGTTAACCTGTCGAAGCATTCTGTGCAAGCAACTTCCACGTGCATTTGTGGACTTCTGTATTTAGAGAAGCTTTTTGATGGTTTTGTAGTTGCCTGTTCTGGAAAGCTTCCTGTCACACAGTCAGCAGTGTATGACAAAGCCCTATCATGGGTCATTTCTTCTTTCCTGAGCCGTCTTCATAATGATATTGTGCCTACAAGCAGCAGGCTTTAATCTTGCTGAAATTGTTATTTGCTAAGGACATGTTGTGTGATGAGCTGGTTATACAGAGCGTGTGTCCTTTGTGTTCATGGCTTGCTGAAGGGTTTCACTCGGCCGCCTTTTCTCGTTTGTATTCTGTGACAGGAAAGAAAGCAAAGAGCAGAGCTGTTGGAAGGCCTGCGAGGTGAGATGGCTCGCCTCCGACAGCTCCATGAAGCGGAGGTGAAAACTCTGCAGGCAGAGCTGGATGAACGTCTGACTGCACTGCAGCACAGGCATGGGGAGAAGGTGAGCAGAACCCTGCTTGGCAGTTTGGGACTTGGCTGCTTGGGTACTGCGACACCTCCGTGCATCCGCCACCCTCTGTAGCCAACAGAAATACAAGTGGCAGGTCATTCTCTCCTGGTGGCAGAGCTCTGCCTGGTGGGTGAGGAGCTTGTGCCATTCACTCTTTAAGTTGACATTTCTGTGCAGGAAAGAAGACTCCAGGATTCAGAAAATGAGCTTGAAATACGTGCAAGGAACATTAAAGCAAGATCAGTGCAGCTTCTTAGCCAGGTGAGTCAGCTGTGTTGGGCTTGAGACATTTCCTTGCCTGAGCTGCTCCCCTGGCTGCTTCCTGTCTGGGTTGTATTTGCCACCCAAGTTACCAGGTTTCAAGATAAAACTTCTGTCGTGAGGGCTAAGTGTTCTTAGTAGCACAGTCTCACAGTTAGTGGTATTTGTGGTGAAAGTCAGTGCCTTGGCAGTGCTCCTCTGTTTTGGGAGGCAGTATATGAATTCTGTCACTTACAGGATGGGATGAAGCAAAACAGAGATCAGTGTTCAGGTAATCTTGAATTATCTTGAAAATTAGGCTCTGTATTTCAAGTGTTGTTGAGCATCAGCAGTCTCCTCTACTGGTATCTCTATGTTCTGATAGTTCTGCTTTTTCTGCTGTGTCTAGGAGGAGTCTCTGAGAAGGAAAAAGCAGCAGCTGCTAGATGAAGACAGACGGACTGAGCGAGAAAGAGATGTATGTATGCCTTGGTTCTTCAAGGGATCTGTGCTGCTTTGGTTTTGGGGATGGGAAGGGGAACGCACTAGAACCATGGCTTAAAAAATGAAAGCTATGTTGTTTTCTAAACTGTGAGTTTGCAAGTTCCCTCCTGCCCCTTTGGCTTGACCTGGAGAATCTTCCTGCTGGGAGTTTGGTTAGCTCAGAGGTATTTCCCAAAAAGAGCAGGCAGTCTTGTTCCCCTGGGATTGACGTGTGATGTGTGTTTGTAGCTCTGGGGCCTCCCATGAACTGTGCAGATAGCAGAAGTCTCTTGCATGCAGTGTGCATTCACTCCATTGTCAGGGAAGCCTGAGAGATTTTTTGTTTGTTTGTTACCAGGAAGCTGCTTTAGCTTCTCAACTCCGCCTGGAGGAGAATCGGAAGGAGCACACCAACCTTCTTGAGTCCATCTGGCAACTGCGTAAGGCTCTTGAGGAGCTCCAGGACCAGAAAGCTGAGCTGGAGGCCCAGGTGGATTTGCTGCAGACTCGAAGCCAGAGGCTGCAGAAGCGTATCAGGTGTGTGTGTGTGTGAGAGAGATTTCCTCTAGTGCTCAAAATCTACCTGGTTACTGGTGTTGTCTGCAGGTGTTGCACGAGCAGTTCAGCTGTGCCTAAGAGCAGTGGCAGTAGGCTGTCTTAATGGTCGTTGTCAAACTGCTTTGCTACTGTCTGATGTACCCCAGCCCTGGGTATAGAAGTCTGTATCTGCAAACTGCTATATGAAGTCTCTTATTTGTATTTATTCCTGTATGTGGGGAAAAAAACTGTATGAGACAGCAGCTGTAAGCTGTTGTGAATCCTTGTCGTCAGCATATTTCTGTGTTCCCACTTGTCTTTCATGTCTGGCCCTTTCCTGTCTGGAATCTGGAGGTTGCTTTGGACACTTGCTGGTAGTTTACTGGGCTAGGAGGACCTGCAGTCTAATGAATTGCTGCCATTGTTGCCTTTTCATGTGGCAGTGAGCTTGAGGCAGCTGTCAGGAGCAAGCAGGAGACTTTGAAAGAATTGGAGGCAGAAGAAAGTGCGGAGTCTCCCAGAAGGAAAGCTGAGCTCCATGTTGAAGACCTGAGAGAAACTATTCATGCTGTGAGTAGAGCTGTCTGCAAAGGCATTTGCCTCGTGAGATCTGAGGCTGTAACTTTGTGAAAATTCCAGCCTTGGCTCTTTCTGCCTAAGCTCGTTTCAGATGCGTTGATGCATTCTTCTTTGCCAGAAGACATCAATGTTTTGTACTCCTTGTTGCTTTCTGCCTATTATTAGGGGAAAAGGAGCGTGGGATGCCTGAGTGCCCTTGAAGTCAAAAGCAGGACTTGAGTGGGAGATGGAAATGTCTCTTACTTAAAATATCACACAACAAAATATCCCCAGCACTGGTCTTGGATCAGGGCAATAATACAGTGATGTCATCCAGACATCCATTTTTGCCCCTAATTTGATTCTAATGGGATCCTGGGGTTCAATTTTCTTGTGTGTATCTATCAGTGTTTGAAACGTTTCCACTCTTCAGCATTCATCCAGAGATCCTGCTTCCCCGCCTTCTCAAAACCATGAAGACAGCAACTTCCAGTTTGATCAGTGAGTATCTGTGTACCAGCTACTTCAGAAAATGTGGTTCTCTTGTGTTTGGTTTTTTTTTTTTTCCTTGGGTTTTAGAAGCAGATGTTTTTGCTTGAGTTTTATATGCATTGCACATACAGTTTATTTTGGGAGGGATCTGCATGAGGCTTGCTGGATGGAAAGGCCAGCACAGAAGGCCAGAATTGTACCTGTTTCTTACAGAGTCAGGAGCTACATCTCTGCTGAAGGAATCTCCATCAGAAAAGCCAAGGAATTCCTGGTGCGTCAGACCCACTCCATGAGGAAAAGACACACAGCACTGAAAGCTGCAAAGCAGCAGTGGCACCAAGATGTGCAGAAAGCACAGGAGGTGGTGCAAGATCCTGACAACTCTCAGCTCCTGGAGGGAATGCGCAAGAACCTGGAAGAGGTGAGTCACTGAGCACTGGCAGGCATCCATCCCATCAGCAGGGACAGGCTCACAGTTGTAGCTCTGCAGCAGCTTCGCTCTTGCTTGAAAACGGATCCCTGAGTACTTGTCAGTTCTGCTGATACATCAACCAAAGACAGGGAAAAGGTCTTCATTTCCTTCATTGACAGAGCACTCCTATTTGCAGATTTTTGCTGCAAAGCTGTCGACTGTTGGATGCAGGATTAGGAAGTGACACCCCTTTTTCCGTGGAGCGATGTTGCCTTAGCCTTGTTCTTTCCCTTCTGCACATTCCTTTTTGTTGCTCTGCGGGACTTGGGAGCAGTTTAAATCCAGCAGCATGATTTCTTGTGCCAAGTAGAAATGAGATGGTGAAAATCACCGTGACCACTAAAGTAGATAATTTCCTGTTGTTCTTGGGTAATTTTCCTCCTTGGCATTGCTGTTTGGTCCACTGCAGGAAGCCAAGCAGCTGGACAAGATGAAGTCGGCTATGCGGAAAGGACAGGTGCTGCTGAAGAAGAAGGAAGAGAAGCTAAGCCAGCTGGAGTCATCCTTGTTGGAGGAGGTAAGCACAAGCATCCTGCTTGGACCTGCCCAGCTGTGCTCCCAGTTTGCAGAGCTGTTGGCCTCCTCCCATAGGCAGGAGTCTCTGCAGAGCTTTTGGCTGTGTTGTGCTTTGAGAGCAGACTGATGGGTCTGTGAGAAGAGTGGGAGAGAGTAGGCGAGACAAAGAGCTGGAGAGAATGACTGTGGTGCACATGATTCACCAGGTCTGAGGTTTGAGATGGAGAGTTTGTCCCATGATTGCAGCTTGCCAGTCAAGGCTACTGGCATCAGGGTTTGAGTTGGTTGGAAAAAAATCTGCTAAATGAGCCCTCAAAGCTTCTTAGATCAGAAGCAAATCTATGTTAACGCTGATATGCAGATTACAATATAAACTGAACTCCAGTTAGAATTGTTAGATATTTTATTAACTGTCTGTGACTTGGGCAAGATGGCAAGTATTTCCCTTTGCTGATGGCATCTGGACTCAGCATTAAGCATATGACCCAGAAAGCAACCTGAAAAATCGGCATGATTTTTGCCTAGAGAGAACGAGGGCAGGTCACCTCGTGTGAGGTGGAATCCACTTTACTTTCCTGTTCAGGACAGACCTTGGAATCTGTCCAGCTCTGCTTGTGAGCATGTGGCCTTAGAGCAGCAGTGTAGATGTGAATGCAGAAGACTTCTGGTGGCCGAGCACTTTCTGTTGGTGCAAAGAGATGACCCAACCTGCAAGAGCTATAAGGCATATTTGATGCACAGAACATTTTGACTTCTGCCTGGAAGGGCTGGTTCATGCAGCTGTTAAATTTGGCCTCCAGTGAATGCACGTGCTTCTTTCAGAGGCCACACAGTCTCTTTACTTTTCAAACATTGCTGTTGGAGTCGCAAGACTCTCTTTTCACCTGTTCTGTGCCTGACCATGCAGTCCTGCCTGCGTAGATGAGCTGTAAGCAGTAGTCCAATGGCTTTGCTGTTGCAGAGACAGAAAGCAGGTTTTATTTGCAATGTTTCCCTTACCAGCTTTCAGATGAAGATACGCTAAAGAGTGTTGCATGCAAGAAGATGGTGACTTTTGATCTCAGCAGCTCTGAGGACACAAACAGTATATCCAGTGCAAACGTACATTTGCCAAAGTGTAAGTTTCTGACTGGTTTGATACTCTGTGCTCAATGTTTTTGGCAGTGTCTGGCTTTCCCTTTTGCCTCTCAGTTGTCTGTAAGGCTGTTCCTGTTTGTACTCATTTCAGTCTAAGGCAGCTTTGCTATTTATGACTGAGACTGCTCTGTATGTAACACTTGGCTTGAAAAACTTATTTCCTGCCTGTAGTGGTGTATGAGAGGGATGGAATCTGTGCATGAACTTGCCTCTTAAATCTACCCTTATTTTTACTGTGGAGTGTAAAACATGGCTTCAGCTGTTCCTTCTCTGCTGCTACGGAGCTGTCATGCTCTGTCAGTGTCCAGGCTTCCTCCTCACATCTCTGTCAGGAGAAGTTGGTGCAGTTTCCCATGTCTGCTGCCTGTGCTATTTGCCTTCTGTTCCTTTAAAATTAATCTTTGTCTCTGGTGCTCTGTCTGTGAGCAGAGACTGATCAAACTCAGCTCACTGTGGCGCAGCACAAAGTGAGTCCTGATAAGGAGACGGTGTCTCCCTCACCTTTCCAGTGATTCCTTTTTTCCCTTCTCTCCTCTGCTAGCTGACCTGCGAACAGAGGTGCAGATTGCCCTACAGCAGGACAAGATCCAGTACTTGACAAACTCTGTGCAGCACATCACCAACGAGCTGAATGGGGTCCTTGGCGTTCTGAGCTCTCTGAACACCCTCCAGCCTCCGCTCCTGACTTCAACACAGGTGCCCCTGCAGGTTCCCTGTGACAGCATTCCTCTTTCTACGTATTCCACCTTGGCAGGCTTGCAGGCAGGTGCCTCCTCGAGGCCCTCTGCTGGGCTGTCTGTGCCTCACCAGTGGGCCTGGGGCACTGGGCTGAACTCCAGCCGCTCCTTCGTGGCTGGGCAGTCGGTGGACCGTTTCCTGGCAGAGAAGTGGCACAAGTACTTTCCAGGTAGGTCTCCTGTCCTTACTCCATCTCACTGTTTGCTTACGACTTCTGATTTCAGTGCTGCATGTTCTAATCAGCTCATCATGCCAACCTGTACTGCTGTTGAGAGTAGTGCTAATAAGATCAAGAACGAGAACCTCATTCCTGGTAGTACAATCTATGTCCAACCATGTTATCCTGCCTCTAGAAAAGTTTGGCCTCTGACATACACAGGAGAAAAGTTATTAAGAAAAATGAGCAAAAAGGAATCCAGATCTTGCAGCAGCCTCCTGTGGATTGGAGATAGGGTTCACCATCTCAGCTTCCTTTATAACAACACTGAGCTCTTGGCAGATGGCTCCACTTGTAGGGATGGCGTGTCCATAACAGGAAAGCAGATGCATTCAGATTATAAAGCCTGTTGATTTTTTCGGTGAGGGGGGACCCTCACTAAATTGTGTATTTAATGTATTTAATGTTTGTTTCCCAGGTGGGTTCCCATCATCCAGTGGAAGTTCTGGTCCTTCAGACAACAAGCTGGGATATGTACCTGCAAGGTGAGTGTCTTTTTGAGTGTTCTTTTTTTCGTTGTATTGCCTTTATTTGCCTGGAATAAGTTTTAAATTAGGTGATTTTGTTTCTTACCTACTTGTTCAGTGAAGCAAATTAAATATTAAGAAGATAAATTAGATACCATTGGTTACTCACTGCCACATGCCTTGAGACAGCAGCTTTATTTCAGAAGCCAGACTTGTGCAGCTAACACTGATCTCAGGAGCAGAATCCAAGGGTGCCAGCTGTCTCCAGGCAGAACTCTGGCTGGCTCTGCTGTGGCAAGTGTCACTGGAGGGGTGACACTGCAGGCTGCCTGCCAGCTGAGCCTTTCTGATGCTACGCAGGCTGAAGGAAGGACAGCAGCTAGGTGGGATGGGGGGGCTGTTGCTGCTCCAGCTCTCCTTCGTGATGTGGCTGTGCAGAACAGTTAGAGCTCAGAAGAGGTTGCTTGTTAACCTTGGCTCTTTCTTTAGCTATGCTTTTTCTCATCTCTGAGTTTGTTTCTGTCTAAGCCCGTTTCCCACTTCTGTCTTTTTCTCTCCCAACAGTGAGCAGATGCGCGTGTTCCAGAGCCGTGAGTCAGACAAGATGAGTATTCAAGGAATGATTGAGACCAACAAGAAATGGCTAGAAGACTTCAAGAGTGATTCAAGGATGTATCTTTTGCCTGGGTCTGGTCTCTAATTGTAGTCCAGCTTCCTGCAGCAGGCAGGAGGAAACAGTGGGAGGTGAATGAATCAGGAGCCACTAAAGGATTGAACAGCAATTTTGAAGCCTTAGCCTCTATTTTAGTGTCCAGTTCTGCAAAAGAATGTTGTTTAGCAGTTGGAGCACGAGTGACCTGGTTTTTCCATCTTTGAGCTGTGCTTACCTGAGAGATTCTCCTTCCCTTCTCCCAGTTGTGTTGTGAAACACAACAGTTGGAGACAGTAATGTGAGAATTTTGCCTGCTGCTGTAGCCATGCGGTTGGTGCAGTTGATACAGGCAGCCTGGTGTGAGGAAGCCATGAGCACAGCCAAAGCTGTGTGTGGCAGCTGTGACTTGCAAGGTGAGGTGGCCACACGGCTGTGCAGGGAGGCCCTGGGCTCCCTGGTGGAGTTGCCCTGTCTAACTCAATTTGGAGACGTATAAGTGAGTGAAACCTAATGGGAATGTTTCCAGGTTTGTGTTGTAACAGCATTATGTGGGGCTGGAAGTATCTCCTTTGCAGTGTACACTGATATTAGCAGCAAATCCCTCAGGCCCTCTGATAGCACACGCTGTCCTGAGCGCAGCGCTCCTTTGAATTCCATAATCCCCCTTTAATTCCATTTGACTTGGATGCAGAGGGCTGAAGGCAGCACGTGTGTATGAGGCTGGTTCCTGCCCCTCAGTACCTGCCCTGTCTCCTGGCTGTGCTCATGCCTGCTAATCTCTTGTGTAAGCCATGCTTTTCCTTAACCCAGCTGTCAGACCTCTCTTCCCAGGCGCAGAGAAGCCCCCTGCCAGCAGCTCCAGCCTACTTCAGCTAGGGCTGGATGAAAACAGACAAATTAAAGTGTACCGTTACTGAAAGGTGGGACTTGATGTTTTCAGCCCTCGACTCTGGGCACAGGACCTGGAGAGATGATAGCTGGGGGCTGTGCAGTCTCTCTAATGGTACGGTGGGTTTTGGTGATACCCAGCCATCTCTGTCTTTGTGCTGTGCCCTTGAAATAAAGTCTCTTTACAAGAGAGTGGAGGGAGGAGGAAGTGAAGTTCCCAGGTGGATTCTTCTAATCCTGTAATGTGTCCAAATATACTTTATAGACTGTTTAATCCAGTGGTGAAATATCAGGGCTTCAATAAATCAACAGTTCTCTCATTAGTATTCTAGAAACTGTGAGACATAGCTGTGAATCATGGAGAACTTTGAGTAACTGGTCAAGGGGGAGGACATGAATCTAGCTGAGACTTTGCTAGAGGAAATGTATCAGGAAATGAGCCCACACTGATGCCCAACAAATGCTTAATTACAGATGAGCCAAGTCATCTGGCTTCTGTGGCGAGTGCATGAGCAGGGGAGAACGGGCAGCAAAATGGCTATAGAATTGGGAAACAGCAGATTTTGACTCTGGGAAATGTTCCTCTCTTCTGGTGTGGAAACAATAGGAACAAAACCAAGGGTGGTTTTCATGGCAGATATTGTAGGAGAGAGTTCCCTGCGTCCTCCTCTTTCTGCCAGGCTGGCCAGAACTGCGCGGCATAACTGTGCTATGGGAGCTCAGCTCATGTATTACAAATGTGCTGATGGCAACACGGAGCAGGGATGGCAGGAGAGCGAGCAGCAGTGTCTGCTGGTGCAGGCAGTGCTGGGGAACTCAGCCTAGTGTGACTGCGAGGAGACAAAGCCCCATCTGCATCCTTCCCTGCCCTGGGGAAGGGGATCTGGAGCTCAGCAGCTGAGGCTCTTCCTGCACAGCAGGGCTGCGTGGCAGACCTGAGCGCTGGCCTCGCTGCTTGGAGCAGCTCTCCCAAAACCTTGAAACAAGGCTGGGAGCAGGGCTGGGGGGTTGGCACACGCTGTGCTCCGATGTGAGCTCACACCTCAGCAGGTGGCTGTGTTTGTGGTGCTTTGGATGGGCTGCATTCAGAGCACAGCCACGTCCTGCTGGCATGCAGAGGTCGGCGGGGGCTGCTTGAACCAGAGGGGTGGGAGAAATCAGGCCGTGCTTTCATACCACTAAGTGGGGAAAGTGGTATTTGGTTGTTTTATCAGTCATTCCTCCGAGCTGACTTTAAATATTTAATGCTGTAAAAAAACGCTGTACCATTTGCTATTTTGTCTGATGAGAAGTCTGCATTTCAAGGGATCCCATCTGTGAGAAATCAGCTTCAAAGTCGCTCTCTCTGGAGACAGCTGATGCGGGGAGGATGGCGAAGTTGCTGCTCTTCACCCTTCAGTGCTGTTTTGCTTCTCAGTGGCTAATGATGTGCAGCAGAGTAAAGCACAGCTCCCCCTTCCTGGCTGTTGTGCACTGGCACAGCATTGCAGCGATTTGTGCTGTGAGGGTGGCAGGGGAATGTTTACATGCAAATAGAAATATATTTTTGATGAACATTTTAAAACTCTCAGGAAGAATGTCCGTATTTGCATTTATTTTTATTCTTTTGGGGCTGAGCTCCTTAATATTTTCTAAATTCCTCAGCCAGCCTTTGTCCTGGGATCTTCTGCAGTGGGTAGCATCACGCTCATGTCCTTGCTGAAGAAATCCCAGCTGGGCTGAGCTGGGAGACCTCGTGTGACCACAGGGAATGGCAGCTGTGTGGGGCAATCCCTTCTCCATAGGAAGGGATGGATGGAAATGCAGATTTCCTGTCTGCTGTCAGATTATGCCAATCCCTGCCTAGAGGAATTTTGCTTTTGGTTCCCCAGCTCTTGGTGGAACACGTGGCAGAATCTCTAGTTATATTTTGGACTTCTGGCTCCCTGAAGGTGGGGGGAGGCTGTCAGCACGGTGGATGCTGCACCCAAAGCCGTGCAGCTGAGCTCAGGCTGCATTCTGAAAAGCATAGATTGGTGGTGTGGGGGAAGCGCCTGCTTTCTTAGCAATAATACATTTTGAAACATGTTTATTCTTCCTGTTGAAACTTGTGATCGCTGTATCTGGTTTTGTAAGCAAATTAAATCAACACGAGTCTGTTTTGTATGGGGTGACGTTTGTGGCTTTATTTTTGCTTGCTGAGCCATCCAGCTGTAGTCTCAGATAGCCAGCTCGTACTTACCTTTCACATCTTCCCCTCACTTTTCTCCAGGCTGCTTCATGTTTTGTCTTGTCAAGGTCATCTCTGGCAATTTTTAAGACCACTTCAGCTCGCTGTAGCTTTATTACCATTATTCTATTAAGCATCTGGCCACGGTAGCAAACGCAGGGGCAGATAGAAAGCTGGAAAACAAAACTACAAAAGCAATTCTTCACGGGGCTCTCAGCCAGCAGGACAGCTTTTCATGGGCTTGTATCCTGCCCTTTTCATAAAACTGTCATCCAGACTCATTACAATGGTTGTCTCCCTTCTGAGCTTCGTGTCAAGGCTGCGAGCCGGGCTGTGTGCCTGCAGAGCAAGGCCAGCCCTGCGGGAGGTGCAGGAGGGCTCCGGGTGCTCTCCTGGCTGCTTTGGCTCTGCCCTGGCTCCCTGGCATGTGTTGCTTTGCTGGGGAATGGGGCCTGGCTCCGGGGCTGCTCTTGGATAAAGCAGTTTGGGTTAAAAGTGGTGAATGTGCAGCTGCTGTTTGAGGTCCTGTGCTGCTGCGTCGCTGGGTCATGTTCTCACCACCAAGGAGAGTTGGATCTGTGCTGTCATAGAATCGCAACAACCTGCAAGATCATCCAGTCCAACCTCCCTCCCATTCCTATCAGTACCACAAGCACTAAACCATCTCTCACAGCTCCTCATCCAGACGCCTCTTGAACACTGCTATGGATGGTGACTCCACCACCTCCCTGTGCAGCCATTGCAGCGCCTGACCACCCTCTGAGAGAAAAAGTTTCTCCTCATGTCCAACCTAAACCTCCTCTGGTACAACTCCTCGGGTCCTACTGTTTGCCTGGGAGAAGAGGCCAGACCCCTTTTCATCACAGCCTCCCTTCAGGAAGTTGTACAGTGCAGTGAGGTCTCCCCTGAGCCTCCTCCACACTGAACAATCCCAGCTCCCTGCGCCACTCCCCATAAGATTTGTGCTCCAGACCCCTCACCATTTTCGTTGCCATGGTCCTCTGCCCACGGTTTGGTCCTTTCCCTTCCCACCACCTGCCAGCAGCCGTGGGACTCCACAATCCGCTCTTCCCTCTGCCTGTTTGCTCCTTTGGGACTTTTCAAGGTGGTCTGGTTAAAACCTCAGCTTGTCTTGTCTCTAAACACTGGAGTGAAGGCTCGGGTGCTGGGAGGCTGCAGGTGTGTAACAGGGACAATGACAGAAGTGCTAGGGAGAGGGAGTTCAGCTCCTGCCCTTGATTTTTCACCTCTGACTTCAGCACAGCTGGAAATCCTGGCTTCAGATGCATGGGGATGGGAGAACTCTGACAACTGTAATATGATTTGAGCTCCTGGTACAGCAGCAGCAAGACACAAAGACAAATGTGGTGCTGGGATGCACGAAGCATGCAGACACATGGAGGGGCTGTGCTGCTGCTGTGCACAGCTGTGCTCTGCATGCAGGGGGCTGGAAGGAAGGAAGGCAGTTGCTGCTGTGCGTGCTGGGGAGTGAGGGGAGCTACTGAAGCTGTAGGACAGATGAGGTGCAGGAAGAATCTGTTGGCCGTGTAGAAATGGTGGGTGACGGCTAGATGCACGTCCTGAAGAGCAAAACACAAACCACCCCCAGACCTTGAATTGCACGTTGTCCTGCTCAGCTATAGCAAATACAATGCCACAGACCTCAGCATGCTGTTGAGCCCATGTAATAACTGAAGCAATCAAGTCTCTTGGTTCCCTACAGCTCTTCTGAAGCAGCTGCTGGGCAAAGAGCACGGGATGGCACTGAGAAACCCAAATACACATCTGGACTCTGCAGGCCTTTTGGGTGCGGGAGGCAGTGCTGTCATCCTGCTGAGAAGAAATCCAAAACAGAGCCATGGGTCTGGGTGTGTGAGTGTGCATAGGTCTGCACAGGTACGTAAGGAAGAAGAGGATTTGCTTTTCCTGGAATGCTGGTGCTGCATACGTTGGAGAAATTCAACGATTAGAAGAGCAAGAGGACAGGGTGTGATTACGGTGCCAGGATGAACACAAGCTGTAAGCTCATTAAGGAGCTTGGAGTTGGCCTGCTGGAGGAGGGGACGCTTCAGTCACTGCTGCTCAGAGACCACAGTGCATCACTGCCAGAGCTTTGGCTTCCCAGGACGGTGGGAGACTCTCAGAGACCGCAGCCATGCTGGGGACCCTGATGACAGCACTGTTTTTTGTGGTGAGAGCATTTGGACAGGTGAGTTGGAGCTGGCAGTAGGTAGGATTTAATGCTTTTTGTCTTATTTCTAGAAGCATGGGGGTTGTTAACTTGTCAACTCTAAGCTGGTTTGAGCACATTTGAATTTCTGTGGCTGTAGCAGAGTAGATCTAACAGCTGCTTTGCAGAGAACTGCAAAGTGCAGGTACTTAGGCTTTCCAGTCTGGTGCTTTGGTGCCGCAAATGGGGAGCGAATCTTGGAGCAATTTGGGATTGGAAGGCAGGAAAACCACCCCTGCTTGCTGCTGGGGGAAGGGGATGAAGATTCTACGCTTGTCTGGTGGGACACATCCTAAAGCCCTCCTGAGCAGGAGGGTCACCTGAACTTAACACAGTGCCACACGGCATCAGCTTTATCCATAACATCTGTGTTTGCTTTCACGACTTGCTTAGCTTTAGTTCTTGTCATTTAAGAGCTCAGCAGCACAATCTGCTGCCTCTGTATCTTTCCTTCCTGACCCACTGCTTGTGACCCTGTAGTCATCTCTGATGGCAAGCATGATGTCAGGTGGAGGAGGAGGAGAGGGCAGCAAGCATTCTCGTGGGCTGTGAGTCCCATGCTGGCTGTGCACTGTGGGACCAGGACCTGTGAGAACACGCAGTGAGAATTGCCCATCAATGGTGCCAGGATGACAAGCTGAGCATCGCCACTGTTAGCAAGGGTGTGATCAGTGTTGATGTGCACGCAGGAGCAGCTCTTCCTGTTGCTCATCCGCTTCTCCCCCGTTCTCTGACCTGCTGCAAATCCTCTCTCCATCCAGCTCGGGACCAGCCTGTTCCAAGAAGAGCCCCTGCCATACCTTGTGTACCAGCCCCTGCCCTGGCAGATCCAGTGTGTGACACAGAGCCGCCGCACCAGCCGGGACAGCGATGTGAGTGCTGGATTTAGCTGGAGAAGGCAACTGGTAGGGAGGAGAGGGCTTGTCTGCTGGCCCTTGTGCAGCCCTAGGCCTTTCTCTGGCAGTGCAGTGGTAGCGTGGGGCACCTGTTGTACCCTGAGAGTGCTGCCAGGCTGCCTCACTGCTCTGTGCTGGCACTGGGAGGCCCTTGGTTGGTATGTATGGAAAGTAGGGTGCCTGGCATGCATGGGGCTGCAGCGAGGGCAGGGATTGATGCAAAGCTCAAATAAAGAGCAGCAAACATCTGTTAACCAAACAGTCTGCTTGGAACAGAAGGTTTGGGCAAGGGGGAGAGATTTGTTCTTTCCCTTGAAAGACAGAGAATGGGGTAATTCTGGGAGGCAGGGCATGCTGAAAAATGTAGGTTGGTGTTTGTAGCCAAACTCAAGCTGTTATCTTGCAGGGATGAAGATGTTCCTTAGCAGACCTGGCATCCCAGGGGCTGCAGCACTGTGATAGGAGCTAGAGGTGAGGAAACCAACCCAGTCAGTCTGGTTCCATGCTGGTTTGAAATGCACCCCTAGTGAGGTTAGGCTGTGCCAGCGTTCATCCTAAGGTGTTCCTAGCAAGTCTTGCAGATCAGATTTTTGATACAGAGCTTTCTGCTTCTCCTCGGAGGACTTCTCACAAATGCAAATTAATTAATCACTGCTCTTTAGGTTCTTTAAGGGAACAGTAAGTATTTTCAAGTTTCCCAAAGGGAATGGATAGCAGACAGCTCAGTGGAGCCCTGTCCCATTCAGTGCATCCTCGCCGGCTGGAAAGGACTGCTCCCACTGACTGCATTTCTGTTCTGTGCCTTTCTAGAGAGGCAGGAGCTCACGTCACAACAGCATCTACTCGATTTCTGGAGATAGAGGTGAGTGTGGAGCTGGGGGGGAGGCAGTGCTGTCCGCACAGACAGCAGCATGTGTGTTTGATCCCTGCCTCCCCCTTCCCGTGCAGCCTGCCCCATTGGAACACGTGGCTTGGGCTGTCCCCCACTTTCCCTCCTCCCTGCTCTTCTGAGACCTCCAGCACTCAGCAAATAGGATTTGTCTGCTTCTATTCTCAGTGCACCCCGTCCAGTAATCGGATGAAGGCAGGTACAGCGATGCTGGGGTGGGTGCTGCCGCTCACCCTGCACGCTCCTCAGTTGAACAGCTCTGTCTCACCTGGCTGCTGTGCCGGGCTTTTCGTTGCTGGGATCAGATGAAGGTCCCCTAGGGCTTCCTGGGCTGGCGGTGGCACTCGTGTTGGTTCAGCAGTGGGCTGTTATTGATGGGCTCTGTCACTGCTGAGCCTCGCCGAGCTCCTGCACCCGGTGTATTTCTCACAGAGCTGTCAGCAGCCCGCACAGCTGGGGGCTGGGCTCTGGAAGCTCACAGCTCTAAGTGCCCCCAGCGGCTCCCCAGCCTCTGGCATTTGATTTTTGCAGCGGGCAGGATTTACAGCTGACGATGTATCTTGTTAAGCAGGGCAGGAGGGAGCCGATTCCCAACGTGGACTTTTTTATGTATCTTTTTACTTCGCAATTTCTTTTAGGATGTGAATAAAAATGGGTTCAGGTGACATTGGTGAGTTTATACAGCAGCATCTGGCATCAGGATTTCTGATCGCTGCTCGGGGGGTGCTTAGCAGTGACACAGTCGGTTAAAAGAGCACTGCTGAGTGGCTTTGATTCAGTTCCTGTTGAATTTCACAATACTTCCCTAATGCCACATTAAGCGTGGAGTGGGGAGGGCTCCCATTTATCAGCGTGAGAGCTTTATTGCTGTACAGCGCTGGGCTTTTTTTTCTAATCTTATTTGTGTGTGTGAAAGTAAGT